ACTTTGTTTTTGCAAGCCCATAATCAGCCCGTGGGCATTATGGGAGAATAATGCCCTAGAATTAGCCAATCCGAGCATGTGTTATATCAGTTACAAACACAAGCCATATAATAAAGCACATGTATTGCATGTACAATAAAAATGTACCAAAAAATTAATTACAACAGGAAAATACATTAAAATTTACAGTACAGTATACCTGTGGATCCTCAGGATTATCAGCCAGAGGACTGAAGGTCACCAAGTACCTGCCGCAATTAAGAAAAGCAACTAAGTTTAAGACAACCCAAGTTGTGTGCAGTACCTAGTTTAGTAATACAACAAAAAACTTAGCAAAGCAGCCATGTTTGGCTGCATTCACAGTTTCAGGATCATTCTGGTATTAATGATAAATTACATCTACATGAACATGCATGTTTTTGCTTTTGTTTATTCTTTGTTGATTTGTCTAGAAGTAATATACCAGACAAAAGATGGTGTTTGACCACATTTCCGAACACCAAGAGGAGAGTTGAAAATATGAAACATAGCAGAGTATTTTTGACAAACTTCAAGGTGTTTGAAAATGTGGTTAAACACTTTTATGACTGTTTGGTTGTTTGTTTGTTTCTATCTTCTCAATAGATCTCAATAGATCTTATTGACTGACTGACTGACTGACTGACTGACTGACTGACTGACTGACTGACTGACTGATGGACAAACAGACGGATGGACAGATGGACAGACAGACTGACTGACTGGCATCTTGAGTTAATTTGGCTATGTACAAAATTACCTTTACATGGAGGGAAGCCTGGAAATAGTAGTTTACTAACATAGAAGAACACCAAAGAGATAATAATAAACCGTAAAGGAACAAGGATGGTTAAGGATGGAAAAGATTTACACAGATTACAAATGACGAACTTGAAAATTTTAGGCAAAACTGTTCAAGTTACAGAAACAGTAACCATACCTTTCACAGGGAGAGAAGTCTATAAGTTGAACTCCTGGATGACTGAACCTCATAAGCCTTTTAAATTCCTCCCCACCCCACAAGGCAATACCTTGGTGATGGAGTGTGGCTAAATATGTTCCTCTAGGTGACCACCTTACATATGTTTCAGTCCAGTTCTGCAAGATACATGAAAACCGATGTCAATCAGGCTTTTAGCCAGGATTTGAAAAGTAGGCATCCAAAATGTGCTATAGGGTCTGCTCAAATGAACAATTTATAAGGCACCATATGAAAAATAACACAATTTTCTTTAATAAGTAGCTGTCCACAGGATGCCTGGACACCCATCTGGCTAAAAGCCTGATGTCAATGAGAAAAAGAACATTAAGCGTCAAATGTATGTTTGTTGTGTGGCAGTAAAATTGTGGTTACCAGATACAGATTTTGAGCCTCATCAATGTCCTCACGACAAAAAAACTTGCAATGAGCATAAAAAATAAAATAAAAATTTCCCAGGCATTTCCCCTGCCTGGTACTTTCTTTGTCATGGCAGAATAAAACTAACTGGTAAGCTTTGAATTTAGTTCTAAAGCTACCTGCAGTTATCAATGGTAATTTATTGTAAGTTTTTTCAAACCTTAGATCACTCATGGTAGCCAGTTATCAGTTAGTATCTCTCCCAGTTCTCAACACTTTATTTCAGCAGCAGAACTGGCATAGGAGAATTTCATCACATGCAACCAATTTCATGCATTTTTATAATTGTTAATTTAAAAAAAACATTTTGAAATGCTGGAACTTAAAAAATAATTATACTGACAGCTTAAATTATTGTTAACTATCATACTGTCATTTATAGTGCACTTGCACATGACCACAGACAGCTCAAAGAGAATCCCAGCAACCACAAGTGCTCCAACCACCCCTCCCCCCACACCCCTCCAGCCACAAGATATGACATCACGCATGCATATGGTATGGCCCTATCCAGCAGGCTGCCATGTCAACACAGAACCCTCAAACAAGGCTCAACAAGTAAGCAAAGTGCCCAGCAACACAGTCAATATCAGGGTTATTTGGCACTGAAAACTCAAAGTCTAGCTAAGTGAAGGTGCCAGTTAAAGACATCCTCCCTTCCCCCCTGCTTTTGACAGCTGGCTGCCAGCAAACCAATAGCAGATTGGCCAGTGCCTGGGCCATGTCTCCAGCCTGGCCTTGATGGAGCCCCCCACCCCCCACTACATGTAGGTTTAGAGCAGCTGGCTAGGCCTGGGTTTGGGCCCGAAAACCTAATGGGCATGTTTTTGCAAAATCGCTCAGATACATAAATTATTGTATGTTTTGTAAGTAGTGCAAGTATTAGTATTGCAAGTGGTGTAAGTAATCATATTGTAAAAGAAGTCCTGTAAGTATTGTAAGTAACTTTATTGCATTTGCAAGTAGTGCGAGTCGAAATAATATTAAAAAAACGTGATAGCTTACCATTCTTTCCTTTGATAGAATGGGTTCCTGAGGAGTGTTCCACATGATGGCAACTTTATCTCCTCCCCCATGAATCACAGAATATTGATCATTGCAATCTGGATCCAGAAGCCAAGATCTTAAGTTTTCCTGAAAACAAAAGAAGTCATCCTTAACCCTCCAATTCTGAGAGTGAGCAGAATGCAAATAACACCTCCTTTCAATATTTCCAGAAGCTATGGTATTGTCATTTACGAGGTCTTTAAGGATTTCACAAGCCTACACTTGAGCCTAGTGGACTATCACGCAGCCACGTCATCTTGTGTTTCTGTAACTAGGAGTATTTCTACCCCTGAAGAGATTGCTAGTCAATCAAAGAGGCACGATGGCCTCATGGTTAGTGTGCTCCATTCCTGATCATTCCAGTCCGGGTTTGAGCCCTGGCCAGGGACACTGTATTGTGTTCTTGGACAAGACACTTTACTCTCAGTGCCTCTCTCCACCCAAGTGTATAAATGGGTACCAGAAAATTCAATGCAGGGGTTATCCCTGCAATGGACTAGCATCCCATCCAGGGGGGAGTAGAAATACTCCTAGTCACTTCATGTACAGAAACCGGGAAAAGCTCCAGCCTGATGGGCCACTTGGCTCCTATGCAGACTTTACCTTTACCTTTACCCATCACAGAGTTATCCCCAAAATTTAATTAGGTCATTTCAAACTTGCCATTTACCTCTGTGTCAAAACGAGTCTTCCTGTCAAACCATTCATGTGGAAATGTGTTTCCCCTACTGGGTCATTTTCATGCAAATCAAACTCATTTTCAGAAGAAAGGTTTTGCACAAGAACTTGTAGTGAAACAGAGGCACAAGGAAATGCCCTACTTACCAATACCCAATAATACACCTGGGCAGAGGCAGCAGTGTCATGCACGAGAATGCACTGCATTGATCTCAGTGAGGATTTAAACCAGTTGATGAGGATAAAGACAACACCAGGCCCAAGCCTAGAGATTTTCTTGATCTACCTCAAAATTCTCAAGGCTGTCATTAAAAGACATGCATGACAAACAGTGATAAGAATTATTTAATATTTTGAGCTAAGAGCATCAGACTGATTCTCTCCCAGTTCTCAGCACATCAACTCAGTAGCAGAACTGGCTTTAGGAGAACTTCATCACTTGCTTGTTAAATTCACAATAAGAATTATCAGAACTAACATAAAATTTAACAAAACCATTGTACAACCAGCAACCTGCAAAGACACTCAGCACCACTCATTTTAACATTGCCATCATGTTGGTTTCCTTCTTTCCTACATTGTAAGATCCATGAGTGGGAGAAGATGAACTCAAGGCCCACAAACTGCAAGTCTACCCACTTGTTATATTATTTTATGGCACGAGAAGTTAGTGTCCAAGCAGATTGAATTTTCTAACTCTCATATCAGGATAGAGTTTGCAAATATGAGGCTAACCACTGAGAGCTCCTGGCTGTACTGCACATGACTATACAAGTACATGTACAATAAAATATACCACAAAATTGTTTTTACAAATCAGTAAAATAATAAAATTACTATTAGATGCTTTCTGAATCATGGGAGAGATGAAGAATGATTAGCACAAGTATCAACACCATTATCTCGAGTCTCCAAGTCTCTGGACATTTAAAATTGGTCTTAGAGGCTCTCACATTCCGCAGATGAACCTAAAACTGAAAGAGTTCAGCAAACTTCTCGTAGTCTACATTTCTATAGCCCCACAGTAATGAAAAGATAAAAAGCATGATTGTCCAGTTACCTGTTCATTATAAGGTTGTTTTGTGGGAGCCTCCCAGTCCTTTGTAAGGCTCACCAATCTATAGAAAAACACACAAATGTTATACCCTTCCCAATTGAATGGCTTGGTGCAAGACTGACGTAAGTGACTTTTTCGAAGGCGTATTTCGATGCGAACTTAACGGTTTATTTTAGCACTAGCAGCATCGATAATACGGCCTATTTTAATGTTTTGGTTTCAAAAAGGAGATAAATCAACAGGAAAAAAGGGGCTGATGTTGTGTCGAACCGGTCTGACGACAAAATATTAACGTTCGCGACGCGCAGCGCTTTTATCGCATGTGCGAAGGAGACAACATGACCGCCTTCCATAAAAGCTCGAACAACTGGGTCGCTGATATTCGCTTTTTGAAAACGCTGCATGTTCAAACGCTCAAACTTCGCTTTAAAAAGAGACCTTGAAAAGTTTATCGACCGCGGCATCGATAAATGGGCGAATCTTCCGATACACTCGGAATGTTATTAAGCAGTATTAAGTGATTTAGGGCCTCTTTATGTGAGC